TAACAAATTCCTCAAATCTACTCATGGAAAACTAAGAGCTACTAGTCTTTTGAACTATTGGAATGTTTCCTTTATTTTTAGATTACTGAAACATCCAGTGATTCCAGACAGACAGATTCCAAACTCTATACTTTTGAATGTCCAGTTTACCAAACACCTGAGAGATCAAGAAATATGACCCTCACTGGCTTACCAACAAGCTTAACATCTGTGTATCTACCCACTAAGAAGCCTCCTAGTCACTGGATCACCATGCAGGTTGCACTGCTGTGTGAAAAGATGGAATGAAATTAAATATCCATACCAAACCACTTTAAGTTTTGGCTCTAACCACATGCACATTTGGGAAGCAGCCTTATAACACTGAATGCCCAGCCAGATTCAACAGGTACGGCCTCTTTCTCATCACCACGTGAGAGCTTCAACAGGTAAAAGGATCTTCCTACTGCTCTTTAAGCACATAAGCTAGGGGGCTGCAGAGGTAGCTCAGCAGGTTAAGAGCACTGGCTGCTCTTGCACAAGACCAGGGTTTGGTTCCCAGCACCCACATGGCAGCTGACACCAACCTTAAGTCCAGTTCCAGGGGATCCAACACTCTCTTCTGGCCTCCACGGGTACTGCACAACACAGGTGCACTTACACACATGCAGTCAAAACACACACAAAATTCTTTTACACAGACAAGCTCTGCTGCAGTGTGCCTGCACTGGGTTCTCACACAGGCAGCACAATCTGGAAGGAAGCAGATTAGATGGACTCTGCTACATGTGGAAACCACAGAACCAAACAGCAGGACTCATTTCTATGTAATTTTTAACGAGCTTGGCCATTACACATAAAGTTACATGTGTATTCTTTGGAATAATTTTCCAGGCTGCTCTGAGTAGACAGAACACTGCACTGCATCTCTCTGGGGGCAAAGAGAAAAGCCTTCCCCCTCTAAAGTAGTGTGGCCTCAACAGACAGCTCTACCCACTGAAAAATCTGCAGAAGTCTATGAATTGGATTATGGCTTAAACTTGTTTTTGCAGGAAGAATTTTATCAGTTTTACTCTGTAATAACAGCTATCATTACTAAGCACAACTAAGAATGCCTGCATAATCCTAAAATTCACTCCAAGGACATGTGAGCTGGATTACAGGCATGAACCGCAAGTCAGCCCAAGCTCCAACAATCTGCGGCCCTGGATTCCTATAGTTCAGAAAGACCCAAACAAATGATTCTAGAAAAAAAAGGGTGGTAAACTGTGGGCTCCTATCTTAGTGCCAATAATCCCAGAGCTGTAGACAAAAATGAAAGGAGGCTCCAAAGTGATCAAAGCAATATTTTTTTTAATTTTCAACTTTGTTTCCAACTTAAAATTTTATCACAAAGCTTACCAAATACCTCCAAATTAAAAACAAATTGCACCTATATCCAGAAACTGTAGCACCGTGTTAACACCACATTCCTCTCACTAGCAGGCAAAGAGTCCAGTGTCTCTTCTCCTCAAAGTCTTCTCAGGAAGTTCAGCACAGAAAGTGCTGATGCAGCTTTCTGAAGCCAGGAGAAGCACATAATAAAAACAACCTGCTTGCATACATCAGTACTAGTACAACACTGACAGTTCCATCCAATGTCTACAGATTCTAGAATGCAGAATGCTCAGAGCAAACAATCTTCATAATCACATTAATAAAGCTAATGTACACAGTCTCAACTGCAGAATAGAATGGACACTGTAATCTAAATGGCTCCATTTGTAATTAAACACACCCACTGCATGCATTACATCCCTTATGTGTAAGATACTGGGACAACTAAGCTGTGAATACAAGTCTAGTGAATTTGCCATTTGTCCTGTTACAGGACAATTACAATGATGAGACTAATCGACTTCATTGGAACTCAATGGCTAGTGCTGCCTCTTGCATATCTATTAAGCTGAGAGAGAAACAAATGTAAACTAGCCCCTTAAAATTGTTTTTAAGATAGAACTTTTTAATACAGAGTTTTTTAGATATAAAGGATATAAAAATGCAGTATAAACTGAGCTAAACAGTAGCAAAAACACTGCTGAATTTTAAGTCAAAAATATATATATAAAATAATGGCCAAAATGGCAAATTTTCAAACACCAATGTGTATAAAAATGTTTAAATAGTGCTGTTATTCCAAAAATATATATTTTTTCTATTTGCAACAGTTTAAAAAGGGAAACACACCTGCAAATTGAGGTAGCAAAGCCAAATTCAAACTTTGGATAAAGAAAAATAATTTTCCTATGTTTTAACAGCATCTTCTATACAATAGTAAATGAACTGCTCCAAACTTTTTAATTCATATTACTTTACAAAACACTGAGAATGGTTTTTTGTTGTTATTGTTGTTAAAAAGCTACTTGGTTCCTGACAATTATCTCATTCAAAATACTGTACAGAAAAATATGAAGTCACCATATATTACACAAAAGCAAGCTATGTATTTACATTTCAAATGCAGCTTTAGAGGCTGAGGTCACACCAACTGCTCTGACAGGTCTCCCTTAAACAGGGTCTGCAAGTAATCTGTCCTCACTCTTCACATACACCATTATTTTTTCCTGACTCATACTAAGAAATTGACTTTAAAGAGAAAGGAAAATTCTATTCTCTTAATGCAATGAAACATATATGTACTTTAACCAAAACAGTGTTTTCATTAAAAAAAAAAAACAAAAAACAACTCAAATAACAAAAAGGAAAAATAAATAAAAATTTGAAAGGAAATTAAAAAAAAAAACAAACTACAAACATCATAGTATTCTTCTCAGTGCACTTACCAGACTTTTCAGATTTTTAGGGATTAAAATTTTCCTACTAACAAGCAGATTCTAGTATCTTTATATTTATTTTCCTTATAATTTAGTAAGATAAACACAACTATATTAAAAAGACCTACGATTTGGCTCTACAGTCCTGACTCAAACAAACTTAAAAAAACCTGTCAGTGCAACAAAGCTGACTTTGGATTTCTCCCTTGTTTTTGCGAGTGGAGTCTGAAGTGCAGGCGCATGTGCACGGTCAGTAGATGTAGGGGAACATGCGGTACGGCACGCGCTGGCAGTACTTCTCCCAGGCCAGGCCGTACTTCCTCCTGCACTGGTGCTCGTCCCGTGCTTCACGGTGGATAAGCAGCACGGTGAAGTAGATGACATAGAAGTAAGGCAGGAGGTGATCAAAGCCTGTGGGTGAGAACAGAGCCACTGGAAGTTTATATTTTTACTATGCTGTATTTTTCCTGGTTTCCCTCAAATTCTCTAAGAACCAAAGTTTTCAGAATTAACGTACATTGAATCATAAATAAAATGTTCCATGTACTCTGCTTAGAAAAAAGCCACTTCAGAATTTTACTTCAGAAGTTAATTTAAATTTAGGGCTCTAAACTGCCAGTGTGTCCTCAGAAACTGGACAATAAACTGCTGATGTACAAGGAAATAGCCCAGAGCAAGCAGCACCCCTCCCACGCCACCCCCAATCTGCCCCACACAGCCCAGACTCCTACTGAGATGCCCACTGCTCCAAGCAATGACACCTCAGTGTCACAACAGAAGGAAGAGTAAGATTGGGACTGAGATGCTTACCACAAGGGAGGGACCACGCCAGAGCCATGATGAGATCACCCAAGTAATTAGGATGGCGAACAAAGCCCCACCACCCAGAAACCAGCAGATTCTTTCCCGTGGAAGTATGAATGGTTTTTAAATCTATATAAAACAAAAGTATATTTTAATGATCCCTAAAAAAAGAGATGTAAAATCTCCACATAATATACAAATATAAAATCAATAAAAGTTAACCCTTACGTGCAAGCTTTGGGTCAGTGGGATTTTTCCGGAATGCATTTTTCTGAGAGTTTGAACATCGGAAGATTACATATCCACAAACTGAAATTTTAAAGATATTTTTCTGTTAGTGATTTAGATAGACTCTAACACTTAAAATCATCTGAGGAAATGTCCAGAGAGGAGACTAGTCTGATTTCTTAAAAATAATTCAAAAACTTATAACCCTGAAAGCCGAAAGTTGACTCTTCAGAAATCTGGCTCTTGCCATCTAGCTGGAAGGAACCCGCACAGTACAGGCAGCACTATACAGTGCAGAGAACCTATGATTACAGGCTGTTGCATATACTCCTTACGAGACCTGTGGCCATGGCAACAGCATTTACTTAGCAAAACGTCAGCTGAGTCAGCAATACAGCATCTTGCATTTTTAATGTGATACATTATCCAGCGGGCTCACTCCCTCTGCACCTCACATTCCTGCCATGCAGGCAGGCCCCTCAATGCAGGCCCCTCAAACATCAGGCCACAGCATCTGGTCTTATTTCCCCTATGAGACTACAAGTTCTATGAAGACAAGATCAATATTCTTATTTTTATGATCAGTGAAAAATGGGGCTGGAAAGATGGCTCAGCAGTTAAGAAAACCGGTTTTACTTGCAGAAGACCCAGGTTTGAATCCCAACACCCACATGGCAGCTAACAACTGTTCATAACTCCAGTACCAGGGGATCCGACAGCCTCTTCTGTTCTCTGCGTGCATTGCATGACACGGGTGCATTTACTTACATGCAGGCAATATATACATACGCATAAAATAAAAATAATATTTTTAAAAAAATAAGATCAGTGAAAAATGCAGACACTCAACAGAAGATAAACTGTTCCTAAAGCAATTCAATTTACGTAAACTGCTTAAACTTAAAACCAAGGTGTCCTGTTGAGAGGACTAGCTAATCTATCTTCCATTCTCTGAAAAATTCCCAATTTCCTCAGCACTTATCCACCATAAATCATTTCAAACATGAGCTGTGACAACTGATATGGCAAATCACACACAGAAAGCTATCAGAACACAGCAGACACAGTGCCTAGCACTGAGCACAGGCTAACTAGCACTCACGTTTCAGAGCAACGATGACAGAAGCCAATGGCCAGGACAGATCATGGGGATGGTTGACCAGGTAAAAGGCCTGGAGGCTGTAGGTGAAAGGGACCCACACTAAATCCCCAAAGGCCAGCATGAACCCAAAGCCATCGTGGATGATGTCCATGGTTGTCAACAACGCTTCCTAAAACAAATGGGAAAAAATAAAAAGCATCATGTTTAAAGTACTCAAATAAAGTACTAATTTATAGTCAAATGTGTACAGGTTATGTGAAGGCACACGTACTATGCCTTTAGTAAAAGACCCCCTTAACCCTTTTGAGGCTCATTTTTTGCCCAGGGCCCCCGCTAGCTTCACCCTTTCACCCCCAGGCCCTCCTCTGAGTGGCCTTGCTGACTGCACCTGGCCAGCCCTTTTAGGATGCCAACACGCCGCATTCCAGTAAACCACCAACCACTCTGCATGTCTAGTCTTGCTTTCCACTGCAATGGAAGCCTCTAGGAGGTGGGGACCATGTGTTTTCACTTTTATCACCCAGCTCATGGCACAGTGCCTGGCAAGAAGTAAACTGTTCAGGGGCTAGAGAGAAATCTCAAAAGTTTGGAGTATTGGCTGCTATTGCAGAAGACCCGGGTTCAAATCCAAGAGAGTTGATGCCCTCTTCTGTCCTCCACAGACATTGCACAACATGGGTACACTTACCTACATGCAGGCATAACACTCAGACATAAAAGAAAATTAAAAAAAAAAAAAAGTAACATGTTCAAAATATGTTTGAAAGAATTGTAAGATCACCAATCCTGCATCTCAATTCCAGGTATACCAACCAAATTTATGATGATCTGGCTTCTCCTATGCATTTTCCACAGAAGAAAATATGCTAGTTTGTGACAGTAAAACATGATTTCACATTCACACATACTCTGAGCAGTGGCCCACCAGGTGTCTCTGGAGTAGGATACCCGCAGGCCAGACTCATCAATACATCTCTGAAGGCCTGGAACTGTGGTGCCTGCCCCTGGAGTAATACAACTAGCTAGTGAGAGTTCTGTTAAAAAACAAATTCTAAGTTAAAGAAAAAAGTGGTACCTCCAAAGGCGTTCATTTGTTTGTTTTGAAAGCATGGAACAAAAGGACAGAGATCACAAACCTAGACCCAAAGGTTCACACTCTGGTAGTTGGCCTGACTCTTATGCACAGCACCTTCTCAAGGCCTATGATCTTATTTGAGGGTCCAAAAAAGGATAAAGGTAAAAAAGGAGTAGGGGAAGGCAGAATAAAACAGATGCTATGATAACAGCACAAGGGAATGAGGGTGATGAGAGGGACAAAGTGTAACAGAATCCCAGGCTCCAAGGAGCTCACAGGACAGACTCCTCCCAAAGGCCTTCACTTTTTCAAATTTCTCAGATTTGAACACTGAGAAATTTCCATTAACTAACCTAAGTATTAAGTATCTCCTAATTACCAAGTGGCTACCAGATGCTGAGGAAATCAATGACATCTCTTCCTTATAGTCTGGTTGAGACAGAGGATAGAAAGAACTTCCCAACTCCAGGCCTCTGTTACTGTCACCTTAAGAGTTTTGTCTTAAGGAGCTAGAGAGACAGCTCAGTAAAGTGCTTAAGCATGAGGACCCAAGTTTGACTCCCTACATTTAAAAAAAAAAAGCCAAGGGAGGTGGAACGCACTTATAATCCCATAATCCCAGACTGGGTAGGCAGAAATAGGCATGTCCTGTCCCTGGGGCTTGCTGGGGCCAGCCAGCATAGCCAACGTGGTAAACTCCAGGCCAATGAGAGCTCTTAAAAAGGGGCTGGAGAGATGGCTCAGAGGTTAAGAACACTGGCTGTTCTTGCAAAAAACCCAGGTTTGAATCCTAGCACCCACATGGCAGCTAACAACAGTCCAGAACTCCAGTTCCAAGGGATCCAACAGTCTCTTCTGTCCTCCGCCACCACCAGCATTGCATGACTCGGGTGCACTTACCTACATGCAGGCAATACACGCATACACGTAAAATAAAAATACTTTTTTAAAAAGGCTGGATAATGGCTGGGAGTGCCAACAACACAGCTGACAGTAGCAGGGATAACAGAGTATAAGGGCTCTAGTGGGGGGAGGGAAGCTATGGGAGGGTGCCATCTAGGAAGTGGGTGTATAGTTGAATAAGATGGTTTGGGATGTTCTGTGTGATATACATACACAAACACACACACACAATCAACAAATTTTTAAAAAATGAATTATATTTGAGGAAGAAGCATAAAAAATCTATATCATGTTAATTAGTAGAGGTAATAAACATTACCACTGAAATCTACCCAATGACTTTACAGACATACACAGGCACCAAGGATCTGGGTGCAACCAATTATGACTAGTAATCATCAGATACATACAGTATGAGAGACGCATGCGCCAACATGTCAGTGTTATTAGCAAAAAGAGTCTTTCTGTAAGAAACAGTATATTTTAAAATGAAATGGAGAACTTTTTTAAAGGTTAAAAACTCAATTTTATGTCTTACAAGGCTTATACTGAGTTCAATATTGTATAACTGTATTAATTCAA